GCACCGCCTCAAAGAGATGGGGTGTGGTTAGTGGCCCTAAACAAGCCATTGGGACTGTTTGTTACACACATGGGGTAATGCACTTTTTGCGAGGTCTCAGAGGCCTAACACCCTGCCTCTGAGGGGGGCAGGCCTACTCCCCCCACCTGCCCCTTCATGGAGGTTAGACCCCCATGGACCTGCGTCTTCCACGAGGCTCAGCCCTCCCGGATTCCTTGACTGTCCCTGGCACAGCCAGTCACATTCCAAGCTTGCTCAAACCCCGGTTTCCCAATTCCCACCATGGCAGCTCAAGCCAGGGAGGGTAGCACCTTCTTTGGACTTTTACACTACCGGCCATGGAGGTTTGCCATCTCTGGCTTGCTGGGGATGCTCCCCACCATTCTATAACACACTAGGACCCCGTAGGGGCTGGGAAAGGGACATTGGCTGCTAAACCAGGAAAGGGGTGTGGTGAAAAGTGGGCAGAACAGGCCCATCCACATTCAAAAAGTGGGAGGACCATGGCCCTCTGCCCACCCATTCTGGTGCCAATGCAGGCAGGTGGCATGTGGCTGGGGGTAACTAGCAGCACTAAGCCCCTGCAAGTACTGCTTCCCTCTTCTGGCCCTGGGTCCCCCCCAGGCAGCTCTCACCACTTGTGCCAGCAGTCAAAGGGGCTGACAGCTGAGGAGCAGCCACAGCCCTGGGGCCGAGTAGCAACCACATGAGGCGAGAGAGTAACACTGCAGCTGCCCTGCCCAGCTTTGGCTTCCCATTGCCAACCTCGCCAGGACAGCACCTCAGCCAGGTGTGATGAGGTGGAGCACATCTGTGTGTGTGCAGCTGCCCATAGCCTGGCCTGCTCTGCCTAAGGAACCACAGCTCATGCTTGGGCTGTGAGCCCTGCTCCACCCCCCTCCCCAACCAGCATCCCTCCCACACTAAGACCCACTGTTGTAAGGGTCTATTCAAGGTAGAATGGTTTGTAAACACCAATGTCTTATAAAGTGCATTATTTTTGGTGTCTTGCAGAGTTATGAATTTAAGCTCCCAGGCTACGTCTACACTACGATTTTTGCTGGAAGAGGCAATGTAAATGAAGCGTGGATTAGCATTTTCTATGCTTAATTTGCATAATCTCTTCTGATCTGTTTTTGCACAAAACCAAGCAGAGCAGACATTTCCTTTTTGCACAAAACTCCCCTTTTGCGCAAGATCCTTATGCTTCAAAAAGGAGGTATAACGATCAAAAAAGGGGGGTTTTGCACAAAAAGGAAATATCCACATGGCTTGTTTTTGCGCAAAAACCCTTGTGCAAAAACAGATCAGAAGAGATTATGCAAATGAAGCATGAGAAAATGCTAATCCGCACTTCATTTGCATTGTCTCTTCTGGCAAAAATCGTAGTGTAGACATAGCCCCAGACTCCTCTTATAAGAGTGCTGTGCAGGTTTCCATTGAGGAAGAGGACTGATGGGTCAGCTAGAGAGAGAGATCACTGTGAAAAGTTCAATGCGCAAGAGAGCGTCCACACTGCATGCACAAGAAAGCTCTCACAGAATGGCCATTAGAGCACCTGTGTTTTTTCGGATAGGCTCTTTTTGTGCAAGAAACCTCTCTGGAGCGTCCACACTTGCCTTTTTGCGCAAGAGCTATAGCGCAAAAAGGAGTTATGCTTCGTAGGAGGAGATATATCTATACCACAAAAAGCCTCTGTTCTTGTTTCTTGCACAAAAATGCGCTTGAGGTATGGATGCTCCCCAGGCTTTTGCGCAAAAACCCTGTAGTGTAGTCATAGCCCCTGAGATTTCTACCACAATTTTACCAACACCTGTCCATCAAACTCTCTCTTTACTACTCCAGCAATGGAAACGTACAACTATATACAAGAAACCCATTTACCCTCACAGAGCCAAACTCCCCAATCCACCAAAAAAAAAAAAAAAAAAAAAAAAAATCTGTTTCATACCATGCAGCACTCAGATACCACATACTAATGGAAAACTTGAGATTATTGACATTTAGAACTGCCTTCACCTGCTGATACCCTGGGAAAACTAGCTTCAATACAGAAATAAAACCCCTTTGACCACACACCTCTAGTAGTCACAGATCTATCTCTCTCTCTCTCTCTCTCACACACACACACACACACACACACACACACACACACAAACACAAACAAAACTTGAACCCATACTTGATTCCCCCCCTTCCGCAGTGCTGAAAGAACTCTTTCCTGAACCCCTAGTTCTGGTCTGTAGACAACCCAAACATCATAAGATTCAACTCTCCACAGAATAGGGCATGCCAATTCAAAGCAATACCATACTCTACTGGTCCAACAGAGTCAAAACCATTTCCATGGCTACAATGGTCAACACCATCACTGCCCACAGTGATGCCCGCAGTCCTTTTAAGATCTATGCATCCTATACATGCCTATCATAAAATGTGATGCCTCTTATCCAGTGTATTAAATGCCAGTCCTAACAGTGATGTGGCTGGAATCCATCACCAGCCTCTCAAATTAACTCATCCAGGAAAAAGACAGGCAGCTCAATAAAAATACAGAATGCTGCAAGTTCAAGGTAAGAAAGTTCAGTTCAATGGCACCTAATACTGTCAAAGACCCCAACAGTATGTGTGAACCATGTTTGATTGGAAAAGTGTATACCAGTCTTTCATGATACAGCCTGGCTTCCACTTTGTTTGCTCCACCAGAACAGGTGAGCAACAGCAAAAAATATTGGTATCAATCCACGTGATAAAGTAGTAGTTTCTGTAAAGAAACAAGGTTTTAGTAGGAGATTGTGTTGTTTGTTTTTTTAATGCAAAAGTTGTGCTCAAAAGTTGGACAAATGGAAGAAACATCTTCCAACAGTTATTACAGAAATAAACATCTGTATTAAGAAATCTGGAGGGCAAAGATTTGTCGTCCCATTCAATGACACACCTTTCGTGCTCCGGGCCGGCCCACAACATTATGGCACCTGAGGCGGGGAGCTCAAATGACGCCCCCCCATATCCCCTCGCTTGGGCCAAAACTTTGAAAGGTCTCAATTCTGCCTTCTTCCTGTTCTTCTACTCTCATGGTACTGTGCATCTAGAGCAGAGAGAATACATATGCACCAGCAGCAGACTTTCTACACTCTGGGACTTAGTGGCGCCCCTCCGCCCCCAACACACACAGTCTGCCTCATGGTAAGACCAGCCCTTGCTATTAGAGCATTTGGATTCGGGAATGAATATGAACTCGAAAGCATCATGCTGACAGTGTAGAGAGAGAGCAAGTTTGCTTCAGATGATCATCTGGGCTTTTGAAACCACTTTTTTTTCTTTCAGGATAAAACAAAAAGTAGTTTCAGAGCAATAGCTAATTCCCCTATTAAAAGAAGTGTCTTCTAATCTCAGGTTACTGGTCTACATCCTGTGGAGGAGCAGGAGCATTAAAAACAGCAAAAGAGGAAGAGTGTTCCTCTATCACTATCAGTGGAGCACTCCTAATTTAGAGTGAAAAGCAAACCAGGTCCATTGATATTATGACATCCCAATGTAACATGCTAACCTTTAATACAAAGGCTGGCTTTCTCTAGCTCCTCCTGCCTAGGAACAGGGAGTAAAAGAATGTTAATACTTTTTAGCCTGTAACCATTTTAAAAACACACAGCAAATAAAACACTAGGATAATTACTTTGCTATTCTCAGAGTAGCAATTTTTCACTTCTATGTTTTTCCCCATTTTCTAGAAGGTTTTTTTTTTATTATTATTAAATTATCTCTGGAAAGCTGCATTGTTTTCTCAGGAAGCTCACTACTTTAATGAATGTGTTTACTCTGAACCCTAGTGTTTTCAAAAGGCAGAGAGAGCAGGGGTGTGCGTGTGTGAGACAAGCCGCTCACTACATGTTTAATCTTTGTTTAAAATACATTCTCATCCTTGCATCATGCATGCAAGCTGGCCTGAGATACAGTACCAAGGAAAAAGGCTGGACTAAAAAAGGTTAAAAGGCAATAACCCCAAGAAATAATTAATCGCCAGCAATTACCAACCCATTTACAAATTAACAATGGAACAAGAAACAGCAGCTTTTTCCTTCTTAAAATCTTATCAGGAACATATAGAGCTAAATATAACGGATGGAACAAAAAGTCGTTTTTACAATTATTTCCTTGTCATCAGAAGGGTTTATTAGAGAGGACTATCCTTGATGCAATTAAATTAATTCAATTATCTATACCTATAGGAAAGGCCTTACATTAATTCAATTATCTATACCTACAGGAAGGGCCTTGTAATGTTTTCCTGTCTTCACAAGATGCAATTCTTTTAAAAAGTGACAGGATACTAAAGGATGACAATATGAAGTTATTTTACAGGAAAAAAAATTTGTAGCAGCAAAGAAGAAACTGCTTTAGCTTTTCATATCTATACAAAACAGTTGTGTTTTGATGGAGAAGCTGACAAAGATATTTTGCCCCAATACCATGAATAGATGTGGTTTTGCCAGTAAGGGGACATTATCAGCCTATTTTGAATTCCTGGACACTGAAGGATGCATGTCTGCACTTAGATTCCTTTGATAATCCCAGTTTATAATGGAATTAGATGCCCAAATTCCATTGCATTTTAATATGATCTGAGCGCCTAAAGGCCAAATTTTTACAGGATTTTAGGCTTTGCTCAGCTTCAGTTTTCTCCTGCCAGAAATGCTAAGTCTTCTGAACCTTTGTTTCACTTGTGGGGCATTACTTAGCTTCACAAAGACTTATTGTAAAGTTGACGCACTAGGAGGATAAGATTGCAGTTGAAAAAAATTTCAAGTATCTTCAAAACTGGTAATAACTTGTGTTTTCTTTAGAACCCATTTAGATGAGTCATGCCAGGTACATTTTGATTTTCTACTATCTAATCTATTTATGTATTAATACCATGCTCCTTTACAGGGTATCAGTTTGTCTTCAGTGAGCTGCTAAGGAATATGCATTTATTATGTTGACAACTACAAAGAAACAATTATATAAACACTTCTTGTTTTGACAGAGTAACTTTTATTAATAATGCACATAAATCTGTCACACCTAATAGGTGCCGGTCATTTATCACACACTACGATTTCCTGAAGAATAAACTAGAAAGGCAGAAAGTTAAATGAAGCTAAAGACTCACACTCGGAGGTGGGTCCATTTTGGATTTTAACAACATGATTTTCCATGAATGTGTCTCTGAAAATTAAATACATTAAGGAATACAGTAGAAAGAATATATTTACAATTATAAAGGGCACTGCCAACATATCCAATAACAAAAATAAAACAAAAGATTTTCCATGTTTCTTGCATGCTTTTTTCCCCACAGAAATTTTTAAATATGATTTTTTTAAAAATACAATAATGAAATAATTACATTCTTAATATGAGAACACTATCTTACAACATACAACCAGACCCAATTGATTTGAAAATGTCTAAAAAGGAAAAACTGATATTGAATTAGGTATTCTCTGTTAGAAAAATCAAAATACCAAAATCATCCTATAAAAACACCTTTGGTCTCCCCAAAATTATGATCTGATATTTAAAAAAGCACCTGATACAGTAATAGGAGTTTGTTTAGGAAGCACATTTGTAACGTTTTCTCAAAAGATATAGAAATGCGGTGATTTAAAATACAAGTTTTCTCTTTAAAACATCATACTGTCCTACTGCTGAGTTTGCTTGGTGATTCTGAAATTTCAAAACTATGAAAATACAAATTTCATTGCTTTTTATTAAAAATTGTACAGTAAGAGTAACACAAAACATGAATATTTCACAGCACTGCATGTGTTCTGGAAAGAGGTTATTTCCAGAGTTTGGTTTATTCTATAGTACAATACCTTGGCCATTACATAGAATAGTCTTAGCTAGTGTGCTAATTGCAAAATATGAGCAATGTACTTGCACATTTAGTTACAGTATACTTTGGGTGGGGGAAGCAAATGCTTAGTCTTGTCCAGATATGTCATTTAGAACAGGAATTTATAGGTGTCATTCTTAAAGGTATATGTGGCAGAACGGAAGAATCATTACATAGAGTTGCACATCTTATAAATCAGCATGTAATATCTCTTTGCTTAGAGGAATTTGCACACTCATCTCAGGCATGGATAAAAATTTAACCCCACCCTCCCTACAAATCACTCTTCACTACAGGGAAAAAAGTTACAAAGCCAATATCTGGAGGGAGGAGGGGAAGACTCAAATTAATTAGGCAGTGTTATTGATGTGGGACCAATTGTTACTGGCATCTATTTCAGCATCACACATGTTGACTAGAGGCCTACATTGCATCATAAATATGTACAGATATAAATTAAATATTTAGTGAAATATACAAATAAATAACTTTTGAAATAAAAAGCCTAAACAAACTTACTTTTGCATCAAACTTTTTTCCTAATGTTTCTGGGATACTCTATAGCACTGTAGTCCATATCATGCAGCATAACTTGTGCCCTTCACCTAGAAAATGTTAAGATCAATCTAAAATACAATACAAGAGCCAGCGCTGAATAACACATATTGACTTGTGTTTTCCCCACTGTATTTGCATTATCGTGGCACCTTAAAAAGCCAGACTCTAGGGAGAATGCAAGGCCTACTGCCATTTTGGGCCCTAATCTTGCACCATTGCACGGGCCTTGTAATTGAATTTAATGTGTAAACAAAATCAGACCCTTAGTAATAGGCCATTATGACCCACTCTTTCAAAAGTGCTCAGGGCCCACAACTGGGGCCAGATTTTCAGAGGCTGCTGGGTGATGAATATTTTAGCCTATGGTTGTAAGCCTGCAGCTTTCATGTGTGTAATGTCCACGGTTGTCCTTATGCACCTTACACTGAGTTTCACATACCAGTATACATTATAAAGCTATGTAAAGTATTATCAATGATAAAACTGCAGGGCTGGGCCACCAAGTGATCTATTTTTCCCTTGATGTGTGGATCTGCACTGCTGCCAACTCTTGTGATTTTGTCAAAAGACTGGCACTGTTTGGTGCTTTATTTAAAGCCCCAGCACCCAGAAACCAATGATTAAGTCAAAATCTCAACTCAAGCCCTCCTGATTGTAGAGAGAATGTTGAAAATGTGACCTGAGTACATTATAAAGGCTTGAAAAAAAACACAGGACAAATAGAAATAACATCTTTAACAAAAAACAAAAATTTCATGATTTTAAGCTACTCGTGAATTTGGGGGCTTGACTCATGAACAGTTGGGGGTTGGCAAGAAAGCATCTGACTTCTCTGCAGAGACATATATATGTAACAAAGGAAGAACAGGACTTCTTTTTTTTTTTTTTTTTTAAACAGACTAAAAGGAAAAGTCTGTTTCTTGGCAAAGAGAAAATGAGTCCTCTCTCACAAATGTCTTGTCACTTCTTATTTCATCAATATTGTGTATAAAGGAGATTGGAAATTCATATTTCCTCAGTCTGTCCTCCTCAAAAATATTATCCAAGATTTGAAAGGACTGCAGGAAGCAAATACAACAGTTATAACATTGTTAAAGTCAAGTTTTATAAAAAGCAAAACAAAACCACATACGCCTTCTGCAGTTGTAATTTAAAAATTAATGTTAGCGACTATCAGTAGGATTTTTTGGGGAGGTGCAGAAATGAAGGGACATATAAAAGCACTTTGTTGCTTCTTTTAAAATCATGCCCTAATAATTTTTCGACAACATGAGAGATGTTTGAAGATGACAGGTGCTTAGAAACAGCAGTGACAACAAAAAACATATTAAAATGCATGGCAGTTTTTTCTGTCCTGATGATAAAAGCATCTGTCTAAAATATATAAAAAAAACGCTTCACAGCCAAGTTGTGTCATCTTATAACCATTGAGAAAAAGTGAGGAGGAAGAGTGCATCTCAAGCAAGGCATGTAGTTGCTGTGGAAACATTTCCTCCATCTCCAGCCAAGTGAACAGGTAACAGCTGGACGAATCCTAATGAGCAAGCTTGTGAAAAGGTCTCTCTCTCAGGTGGTTTGAATTCAGAAAGTCAAAATTAGCCTTAATAATACAATGCATCTAAATTTGCATGATTTCATCTGGGTCTTCTAGCATGCAACAGTCTTGATTTCCATTTATGACTTTTGATGCAATGCCATTTACATTGTTGGTTTAACCTCTTTCAGCAATGTAAACTTTCAATTGCAATAACATGCTCCTTTTTAGTAGGATTTTTACAAATAAGGGTGGAAATGAAAAGTTACAGGTAATAAAAAGGGGCACACACTGTTACACAGTAATACAGCAGAGAGTACAGTCAAATGAGGGCCAAGCTACTGTTAACTGAACATAATTATAAAACCTCAGCACTTGACACCATTTTACAGATGAGTCTTTTGCAGTCTATTTCTTGGTCCATATGAAGAAAGGCCTTTAATCAACGTAAACAAATTTGCACTGCTTATGTTCCGTTTTTCAGCTCCCATTCCTAGAAGGGAAAAACAAAAGAGAGGGAAAATTATACAGAAATGTAATGTCTGTAATTACAGTTAGTCTGCTTATTGGCCTGATCCATAACCCACTGGAGTGAGTGGCAGACTTAAGTAAATTTTGGATCAGGCCTCATACCCCAAAGTTAGAATTTCTGTCAATTGTTTTAAAGGATTTCTATTTTAGTCTACAATTTGGAAAGAGATAAACAAGCTGAGGAAATATGCACCATTCTGCATCATTTCTACTTGACTGGAGCTGCATTTTGCAGCCTTTTGCTGCGTGCAGTGCACACCAGGAAAAGAAACACTGCATTTCTATACTTTTTGCAAAACTGTAGACTGTATGTAGAACCAGAGGAGCCGATAGGTCCCTGGGGAACATGCTGGGCAGTAGGGGCGGTTCTACATTCCTGGACAGGGCAGGACCTCAGACAGAAGGAGCGGGGCTGAGCAGCCAGCCCTAATCACCGTCTGGACCATAATGCCACCCATCTCCCCACCAGCCCTCAGCATTGCCTGGTATATGCTTCTCCCTCCCCCCTCCAGGCAGCCTTAAGAGCTGCACAGTGCTCCAGCCATGATATAAAGGGCCTATGGCCCTGGCCGCTGCCACTTCTGCTGTATCGTTAGCAGTGGTGGGGAGCTCCGGGGCCTTTTGAATTGCTGGGCCCCGGAGCAGTTGCCTTCTCTGCCTCTTTTCCCCCTGCCGGCAGGCCTGTATAGAACAGATATGCACAATGCAATCAAAGAATTAAGCAATGCTGCACGACTTCAGATATAATAGCAACAGATGGACTCTGTCCAAAGTAAAGAAACTAGGAGATGCACACCTGCTCTGTGGGGAGCTCACAAGTAATGTTCGATACCTATATATATATATATATGTATGTATCAGCAAGAGCAGCTGATGTCCTTTCGGTAAGTGACACACACTTATTCTGTGATGGTCTTTGCTAAATTCAAACAGTTGACACACCTGTAAGTCTTATAAACCTACTGCCATTGTGGTACAATTCATTCCATGAATCTAGTAGCTTTTCTTTATTGAGAATTTGCTGCTGCCTTTTAGGAAGCAAGCCTGAGCCACCAAGTAGTAAATCCAACCCACATCTTTGTGGTCAGAGGTTCTCTGATTCATAGATGGAGCTCCAGTTGTGGAAATGGCACATAATACATGTGGGACTGGCCTGCCCTCGCTCTGCACTGTACCTAAAAGTGGCTGGCACATCTCTGCTGCACCTCAGATGGGTAAGGGGTCTCCGTGTGCTTCCCCCACTCTGAGTGCCAATGCTGCAGCTCTGATTGGCCAGGAAATGCAGCCAATGAGAGCTGCAAGGGCAGTGTCAATGGGCAGGGACAGCACAAGGAGACCCCCCCAGGACTATCCTCCTAGGAGCTGCTCCCACAGAAAAGTGCCAGTCATTTCTGCGAGCTGCCCAAGGTAAGTGCTGCCCAGCCAAAGTCTGCACCTCAACCCCCTCTCAAACCCCAATGCCTTGCCCCAACTCAGAGCCCACGCTCAAACTCCCTCTCAAAGCCCCATATCCCTCCTGTACCCAAACTACTGCCCTGAACCACCACCCCCAAACTCCTGCTGCATCCTGGTGAAAGTGGGTGAGGGTGGGGGATAGTGACTGATGGAGGAATGAGTTATGGGGGGCTTTGGAGAAGGGGTGCAGCAGGGGGCATGGCAAGGGCTGAGTTGGAGAGCTTGGGGCTCCTTTGAAATTTTTTAAATCAAATTGGGATTTGCTAGAGTCTGAGAACCACTGAGCTTGGCAGATGTTTGTCTAAGGTGCTCTTAAAAATATCCAAAGACAGACATTCTAAAACATCCCTGGGCAATCTACTCCAGTGCTTAACCACCCTGACAGCTAGAAAGCTTTTCCTAATATGCACTCTAAACTGCAATTCCTGCAATTTAAGCTCATTGCTTCCTGTCCAGTTCTCAGAAGTTAAAGAGACTAATTTTTCTCCTTCTTCCTTGAAACAATGTACAGGTTTGACCTCTCTGGCCTGGCACCATCAGGACCTAACCAGTCCCGAACAAGGGAATTTGCTAGACTCAGAGGAGGCCCCCTGCTACCGGCTCCCCATACCACCTTCCCTCCACACTGCTGTGGCCCTAACCCTGCAATCGGGGCTGCTATCAGCCCTGATAGCACTTCATAGATGTTGGGCCCCTGTGCTGAAGCAGGCCCAAGTAAGCCTATACCAGGGGTTGGCAATCTTTCAAAGAAGAAGAGCCATTTTTTTTTTTGTCTTTGACCAAAATATTTTGAGAGTCCCATATAAAGGCAAAATTCCAGGCTGGTGCTGGGGACTGGAGTGTAGGAGGGGATGAGGGCTGTGGGAGGAAGTTTGGGTGCAGGAAGGAGCTCTGGGTTGGTGCAGAGTGTTGGGAGTACAGGAGAAGGTGAGGGGTCTGGGAGGGAATTTGGGTGCAAATAGGGGTCCTGACCAATGCAGAAGAGTGGAGTGCAGAAGGGGGTGCGAGGTGTAGGTTCTGGCTGGGAGGCACTTACCACAGGCATCTCTCAGCTGGTGGTGAAGCAGAGCTCAGGCAGGCGGTCTGCATGCCATGGCCTCGCACTGCTCTGAGAAGTGGCTGGCTGCTGGCACATCCATGCACACTCTGTGGAGGGAGAGGATCACTGCTCTCCGTGAACTGCCCGTGCCTACAAGCACCACCTCCACAGCTCCAATTGGCTGGTTTCTGGCCACTAGGAGCTTTCAGACCAGTGCTGGGGGCAGGGCAGCATGCATAGCCACTTTTCCCCTTTCCACAGGGGTTCTCAGAGTTGTGCATGCAGCCAGTTGCTTCCAGGAATGGTATGACATTCAAGCAGCCTGCCTGAACTCTGCTGTGCCACTGGACTTTTAGTTTTTTCAGAAAATAGCTGCTCTCAAGAGAGCAGCCAAAGAGCTGCATATAGCTCTGGAGCCACAGGTTGCCAACCCCTGATAGATGTTTGTACAACAGGTTCTTTAAATACTTCCAACAATGGGGATTCCACAACCTCCCCTGGCTGTTAACTATTCCCGTAGTCAGAAATTTGTTTCTAATGCTACTCGGGCTTGATGCTGGATTCCTGAATTTCTTACTCATTCCATAATCTTCTCACCAACAACCAGTAAACATCTGTTGCTGCTGCTTGACAGCAATCATTTATCTCATTATGATAAACAGGGGCACCACTCCAACTGCATGATCCTTTTTGATGTTACAATCACGGCAGAGGAACCATGGTGACCCACAGCTAGTGTCCCCTTTAGGATGAAGAGAACAGGCTCCAGAGTCTGAACTTTTAGATTTGAGTTGTTTGTTTAAGCACAAGCCTCTCCCTGACTCTCTGGAGTTCCCCATCTCCACACTCCTGTATTGTCAAAGATCTTTCTATTATATTAGAGTGCAAAGTGGGCTGCTCTGTTCTAATTCCCCCTTTAGAGGTGCATAATGTGCACTAGAGTAGCATCTAACCAGACAGGCCCAGACGCATGAGAGATTTGCATAGAGCAGTCACATCAAAAGAACGGGCACAGCCCTGAAGTTACACTGTGCATTTAACACTGAGGGAACAACAGGTAAGAGAGCTCATAGAAGAGAGGGACAGAGGCTGGATAAAGAAAG